TATATAGAACAAGTCTGTTTCAGTCACCTCTGTTCTAGACTGCAATGCTGAGAGTTCGCCGTCGCATCTTACCAAGAGTACACGCGTACACATAAATTTCAAACGCACTTATGTATACTTTTATAAGCGTGCGTAGTCTACATGTCAATCACGCGCAAAATACAGACACTATATCATCTTGAGTGTAATCCACGCATACACGAAGGCACTCCAGAAAAACACTGCAACATAGACACACATCCTCATGTGAGCATGCGCACGGCACTTACTCCTGTGTGTGATGTGGTTGTCCAGGTGTGGTGGATGTGTCACAGGCGTCTGCGTCGCTGGCGCTGTACGATCCGTATTTCTGCATGGGAGCCACCGTGCGCATTCTCAATGACCTGGGCTTTGCAAAGGTCATCAACGAAAAGAAAGACTTCTACCAGGATGTCAAGAACAAGACCGTTCCCACACACGATGTGCTAGTCACTAACCCTCCGTATTCAGGTATGTCTAACATCTTGAAGGTATGTCTAGCAACTGTGTAGGTATGTCTAACAGTGTCTAGCATCTGTGTAGGTATGTCTATCATCTATGTAGGTATATCTAATATCTGTGTAGGTATGTCTAACATCTGTGTAGGTATTTTTAACATCGGTGTCTGTTAGTACTCTCTTGTGGTGAATGATGTTTATTTGGTGGTCGCTCTTTGATCCGTGACACTTTCCTCGTGAGCAATTGCATGGTCTAAGACCTTTATTTTATTTTGTATAGTGTTTCCTTCTATTCCCGACAAGGTGCGTTTATTAAATCGATCGACATTTCTACACTGTTGGTCAATTTCTTGCATGACACGCATTGTCTTGTTACGGCTCCTTACAGTCGATTTCCTGATTGCGCTGATGGAGCGCTATCGCGTATATATATATATATATATATATGTATGTATGTATATATATGTATACATGTATATATATATATACCTAAAGTCGGTATATATCTTGCGATGTAGGGGACCACAAAAAGAAATTGTTCCAGTACATCCTTGACAACCGATACGACCAGATGATGGCAGGTGACCAATCAGACAGCGACTGTGACAGTGACAGCGACAGTGACAGGTACATTGCGCTAGTATTGGCAGTGGAGTGTTAGACCACTGTGCTGTCAGAAGGCCTTGTGCTAGGATTGGGAGGCACATACATTAACGTTTACGTGATGTCTATTGATTTGTAGCGATTGTCCACGTGTCATCTTATACGCTCTTGATGTACTCTCCATCTCGTGAACACCGGCAGTGATAGTGATAGTGACAGTGGGAGCGATAGCGATGGTTCGGAGTCCAAAGCCAAAGACAACAAAAACAAACAGAAGACGAAGAAGAAGAACCAGAGTGGCAAAGGAGACGACAGCGACAGCGATCAGGACAGCCCCAGTGCGTCTGAGGAGATGGGGCCCACGCCTTTCTTTCTGCTGCTGCCCAGTTGGACTACTACCAAGAAGTACTACCGTGCATTCATCAAGTGCCTGGCTGACCTGCATCAGTACGACAGGTGGGTTGTATTCAACGGTAGGGTTTAGGGTTTTAGGCTGGCCACATGATTTTAGGGTTAAAAACCCTAAAGCCACCGGGTTTGTAGTTGCGTAGCACATCCAGTGCGTCCGCGAAGTGACTATATGGTGTATGCGCGTACAACAGGTGAGTCATATGCAGATGGGTCGTTCTGCACAGCTGCATATGGTTGTAATACTTGGGGCTTTATACACTGAATAGCTTAAACGTATGTAGTACTGTTGTGTTTGTTCTTGCGTCTGGTGGGGTAGCGTGCGAGAGATAGATGATGGGTATGGGAGTACGCTATCTGTAACGTATGGGCTGTACTATACAATACCACCTGTGGAGCGTGTCCGCACAAATCTACATTGCGCGGAGGAGACATGTACGCCCATCTATTGAATTCACTTCCCCGATTGAGCACATGTCTGAGGCAGTGGACTGTTTCCGCTCCATGTCTCGTGCGCCTTTGTATAGCCATCCCTTTGCATAGCCATCGCTTTTGTCATGTCACTGTCCAATATATTGCCTTCCGTTGTTCTCATTTTATTTTTGGCCTTCGCGCGGACTGCAGTCGCACATTCGCTCGTATGCTCCCAGACGTATCAACATTTCGTTCCGCTTGTGGGTGTTTAGGAGTTTGAGGATTTGGTTTTCTCTCCTTGTGGGTGAATAGAGGTTTAGGGTTTGGTTTTCGCTCCTTGTGGTTTTAGAGTTTAGGGTTTGGTTGTCTCTCCTTGTGGTTTTAGAGTTTAGGGTTTGGTTTTCTCTCCTTGTGGGTGAATAGAGGTTTAGGGTTTGGTTTTCGCTCCTTGTGGTTTTAAAGTTTAGGGTTTGGTTGTCTCTCCTTGTGGGTGAATAGAGGTTTAGGGTTTGGTTTTCCCTCCTTGTGGTTTTAGAGTTTAGGATTTGGTTTTCTCTCCTTGTGGGTGAATAGAGGTTTAGGGTTTGGTTTTCCCTCCTTGTGGGTGAATAGAAGTTTAGGGTTTGGTTTTCCCTCCTTGTGGTTTTAGAGTTTAGGATTTGGTTTTCTCTCCTTGTGGGTGAATAGAGGTTTAGGGTTTGGTTTTCCCTCCTTGTGGGTGAATAGAAGTTTAGGGTTTGGTTTTCTCTCCTTGTGGGTGAATAGAGGTCTGGGGTTTGGTTTTCTCTACCCTCGTGGCTCCCTTCTAGTTTCATTTTTTGCGCTACATCGCTATACTCACCCACACGCTATCAACCACACCTTTTGTGTGTGGCCATTCACAGGGAGGGTCCAGTGGCAAAAGAAGGCGAAGAAAGGCCTCAGAAGTTAAAGTATGTAGTCATAGCACTGTGCGTTTGTACTTTCAGATCACATTTATGTATATATATACATATAAACATATATATATATATATACATATATAAATATATATATATATGTGTGTGGGTGTGTGTGTATGTACATATGTATATATGTACATATGTATATGTATATATACATATTTATGTATGTGTATATATCTGTATATCTATTATATATATATATATATATGTATGTGTTTTTATATATATATATGTGTGTATGTATATATATATATGCATATGTATGTATGTACATGCATATATATATCTATATTTATATATATATATATATGTGTGTGTGTGTATGTATTTGTATATTTATATAAACGTATATATATCTATATATATCTATATCTGTGTGTGTATATGTATATATATGTAAATTACTGGTTATATGGAGACCTATGTTTGGACTGCTTCTGACGGGTGCCTTTTTTATTCTAATATACAATGTACGTATATTCATA